ATTTCTACAGTGTAGGTGCACCTGTGAAAGCTTATGCTACCAACCTTTTTCTCTCAGTTACTCTCAAAGATGCTACTAGGTCTGTTGCATAATGATCCAGACTAACATGGCTAGGGACTTTATCACACAGGAGGCATGTGTTCTCCTCCCATCATTAAATTGCTATTAAATCCCATCTCACATAATAATGGGATGATTTTCAGATGACATTGTTTGACGTCGCCATTATCCCACAATTATCCCATGAATAAAAAGTGGCATGTATTTTGCCACTTTATTCACGGGATAATGGTGGGATAATCATGATGTTACACAATGTTGCCTGAAAATCATCCTGTTATTGGCCAATATTCATGAGATTTAATAGCAATTTAATGATGGGAGGAGGTTGCTTGCATCTCTTGTGATAAAGTCCTATGTTGCATTCCATTATTCCAGCTCAGTCTGTTTTGCACTGTCTACTCCCATATTTTTTCTTCTGACTGGTAGCAACTCTATGCAGCATAGAAGAAGAGGTCTTTCCCAACATCAGCACTTTTTCATATGTAGAATATGTACTTTTCATCTAAACCAGTGGTTCTCAAATGGGTATCTTCAGATGTTGTATTTCAGCTTTCCCAAATCCCCAGACACTGGTTGGTGCTTCTGAAAACTGAGGTCCAAGAATACCAGGAAACCTTCACTTGAGAATCACTTCTCTAAGCTGTGATACCTTCCCAAAATCATATTTAGGGAAGCTTATTTGACTACACCACTGTCTTTTTGGTCCCAGCCAAAAACCTTTGCTCTTGTTCCCTTAGTACTTCAAAACTTTCACACTGTGATGTATATGCATATGTTTTATTGTATCTTTATAATTTTGATTATAAGCCACTTTGGAGTTATTTAATTTTATTTATATTCCACCTTTCTTCCCATGTGTATAGGTTAAAACAAAACAAATCAAAACAGGTAACAAAACTGCCTCCAAAAAAAGAAAAGAAAAGAAAATGGCACAACAAAACAATCAGTAATTGTTTAATACAGTGAGGTTCAGGGGGTGGGATTTCGGTAAAGGCCTCCCCACAGCCACTTTTAGAAAGGATGGAAACCTGTCCAAACTTTCACTCCCTTTACCCAGCTTCCACCCCCACCCCCAAAAGATTGTATGAATGGAAATATGTCCCATAACATGGGACAAAAAGAAGCCGACATACATCCACTGGATTTGTATCAACCAGAGCATTCAAGTCAGAGTGGGTCAGAGCAATCCTATCTGCAAAATGTTATGCAAATTCTTCACAGTAGGATGTCAAGAATGCTGTTTGCTACTATGCTTAGAGTTGTACTTCAAGGCTATATAATAGAGGTGGACAGTCTTTGGTCCTGAGGCTGAATTAGGTCTTTCTGGATTTCCAAACTGTCCTCTGGTCTTTCTTAAATGGCCACACACTCCTGACATAACCATTTGGTGTTATTTGTATGTTCCTTTCCTATTCTAAAAGGCTATTCTGTCTCTCATAAGACTTAGTAAAAACTTAAAGCTAAAATAGGTAAAAGGTAAAGGTATTCCCCATTGACAAGGCTGTCAAGTCGTGTCCGACCATAGGGAGCAGTGTTCATCTCTGTTACTAAGCTGAAGAGCCAGCGTTGTCAGATACCACTCTGTCATCATGTGGCCAGCATGATTGCACAGAGCACTGTTCACTTTCCCACTGAAGGGGTACCTATTTATCTACTTGCATTTGCATGCTTTC